GTATATGAACTCCCTGCTCGGATCTCGGCTGGTACCCTGGCTCCCTCTTACAGGAAGGCCCCTATATGATATGGACATGATGAGCAAGGCTTCCTAAATTGGATGCTGCTTCATCTGTCTGCATCTCCAATCACACTGGGACCAGGAAATACTGAAGGACTCACAGTTCCCCAATTGGCACAGCCCTCTGAAAGTTCCGTACTCTCTCATGATTCCATTAAACTGTAATTGCCCTTCCTCCTGGTATCCATCCAAAAAAAAGACCTCTCCGTTCTTTAAATCAGTCTGTCCAGATTGTCCTTTGTTTGATGCCATTCTCGATCTTCTCCGAAAGAATCCACTATTCTTAGCAGTGCATGCTTTCATACGGTGCATCACACTGTTATAAATCCTCACTAGGAAAGCATGCTTCCTGCTCCAAGCCGAGCACTTAATGTCGAGCTGCATAAAGGCAGGGATTGTGTCTCATTACTCTTTGGCCTGTAGGAAACTGAGGTCTGATGACTAACAGCCACTTTATGAATGTTTTTTAAGGAAGGAAGGAGTTTATTTGGGGGTCACAGTTAAAGGTAAAATAATCCATCGTGGTTGAAACATACGGCACACTGGAAGCATGAGGTGGCTGGTCATAGTGTGTCTGCAGTCAGAAAGCAGAGAAAGATGGATATTGGTGTTCCTGCTTTGTAAATATTCCTAAACAAATAGATGGATGTGTTTCTATAGGTGTTTTCACATGCGTGTTGTATAACCTGTGGGCTGAGCTCTGGTTGAGGAAATGCCAGCAGCCCTTTCGTTCATCAGTGTTCTTCCTTTCACTCTAGTGACATGACATGAGATTTAAGTTTGAAAGTATCCTCTCTACACGGGGAAACTGTAGACTGACCAAATGAGATGTGTAGGCGAGCCGTGCACCTTGTGACCCACAATAATATTGTTGTCGATGGGCTGTTTCCCCTTTACTTCTGCCATATGACTTTAGGCAGCTGTTGTTTTACTAAAATTCATATAAAACAGAGATTCTTGCCAAGTTCTAATATTTCACAAGCAAAACTCCTCCCTGCATAAAAGCATCCAGCCCATATAGGGTCTTGTTCTTGTCTGGTTTTAAGGTAACAAAATAAGTGAAGAATTGTATATGTCTGTCCAACTGTTAAGTTAAATTGGAAGTCAAGGAGCCCACAGTTATGGTCCTAACCAATCTGATGTTTGAACGCTGTTTAAGTGTCACAGGGAGACAGCTCAATTGGTAAAGTGTTTGCAATAAAAGCATTTGCACCTGAGTTGAGACGCTGGTACCATGTAAAAAGCTGGGCAAGGCAGTGTGTACATATAACCTTAGTACTGTGGAGGCGGAGGTGGAGGATTTCTGGAGCTTGCTGGCCAGCCAATACAGTTCCATCAGCCAGCTCCAGGGTCAATAAATAAATGCTGTCTCAAAAACAGATGGACACTGATTGAGGAAGACATTCAACATCCACCTCTAGATTCCATACACACATATGCCCCCCATGCCTCTCCCTGAATCGATTTAAGATGGGAAGCTAGCATGCCCACCCCTTCTTTTACTATGGTAACTATGGTAAATGTATCATAAGTTAAAATTCTCAGTTTTGTCTGACAGTGCTGCTTCCTAGGACCTTCTGGGGGTAAGATGAGAAGTGCGCTATTTTCCCTCATGTATTGATGATTGCATTTGCTGTGCCTCCTGGTATTTCAGACCACCGAATTCTCCCTTCCCTTTCTTACAAATTATACATTTTACTGTGAAGTGAAAATTAATAATTATTGTGTAACTGGTTCTTTTATGAGTGAATTAACAGAAGAGTGGTAATGAGCAGACAGAAGTTGACCTCCATGGAGTTTGCATCTTTTAAAAGTTCTGTTTCATGAGTCATGGTTTTGCAATGTACCCTCCTGGATTTGAATAAACATAAATTAATCTCTCTCTTGTTTCCCATGGTAAACCTCTGAAGTGAGCTGTTTGACTTTCACTTTTCTGTCAGATTGTGGAGGCAGAATCTGGGAGCCTGTTGTATGGAAAGAAGGAACTTTCCTGCTGTCATCCTCATCTCTCTCTTTCCCCTTTTTTATATCCACCTTCCATTCATCTTTTCAATAAATACCAACTGTTCTCCTCAGTTGTCAATTGAATTTTGCTAAACACTGTGAAGAATTTAAAATGAATGAATTTACTATCCTCAGATTCCTCCAGAAATGAACACAAAGTTAGCTCAGAAGTCACACATCTTGACAGTGCATGTGAGCAGTCACTACTGTGGCCTCAGATGCCAGCCTTAACCTTGCCAACATTCCCAGTCCGTCCCCAGCCTGCCAGGCTCTGTGATTATTCCAACCCATCTTGTCCCACCCCGCCCGCAGACACATACAGGAATGCATCCTGGCTCTGCCTCCCTGTGCCTCCCACAGCTTCCCTTCCTTTCCTGAGCCTTCAAATAAAGACCAGAAGTTATATCTAGACTACTCTGTAGATGTCAGGTAATTACCCACTTCCTCTGGCGTGAAGGAGACGGGAAATGTGAATCAGAAAGGGACAATTCATCTCCAGATCACTATGTCCACTATATCTGCACATTTAAAATCCCTTAAGAAGAAAGTATCAATAGCCTTCATCAGGAAACTGCTGCCAGATTGAAGAAGCCTCAGTAAGAGCCAGAACCTGGCCATGCACACTGTATAAACCAGAGCTTTCTTTCCCTTGTGGGAATGGGTGAATAGCCCTCACTTGTGGAAGCAACAAGTACAGCTATTTGACTGTTTTCAACAAATGTTTTCACCATTGATTGCTCTCCCCTCAGTTAGTTATTCTATACGCAGCCCACTACTCCCTGAGCAGATTTCTACGAGTGGTTCTGTTGGAATTATTCTCACGGAATCAACCTCTCTCGTGTTCAGACATCTTTCTCCACTCCTGTGGCTGTAAGCAGCTCCTCATGTTTTCAGGGCTGTTATGCTCTCCTACTTCAGGGTAGACAATCTGGGAGTAGGAGGTGTGACTGGGCTCCTGTGATCCCCCCAGAGCCCAGTGCACTCCCTAAAGGAAAGGGGGCATTTGGCAAAGCTCTGTGCAGTGGATACCCATTATCAAGAGACAAGACTGTGCACACTATGGAGGTTCTGACTCCAGACCATCACAGAGCTGGACGAGATGTCAAAGTAAGACACATCTAGCCTGAGACCTGAGGGTGGCTACAAGTTAGTGGGGCATGGACAGTCCAGGCATGGACAAAAGCTTTTGCAGAAAGGGCAGAGCCCATCCAAAGAAAAGTCAAAAGACCCATCCATGCAAGTCTGCCCTATGCTAGCAATACTTGAGACTCACAGGGGAAGCCATGATGGTGTACATATATGTGCATATGCATAGTTTTAAATATTTTCATTAGAGCCAGGTATGGTGACATGTGCCTGTGACCCCAGCTACTCAGGCAGCTGAGGCATTGTGATTTAAGGATCACCCTCAGCACCTTAGCAAGATTCTTAAAATGAAATACTTGGGGCTGTAGCTCGGGGGTGGAGCAGGAGCCTAGCATGTGTGAGACCTTGAGTTCTTTTTTTTTATTTTAATTAGATGTAATAAAAGTCAAGAACATTGGCCCATAAACTTTCAATATTTAACCTTAAACCATCTCTAAAACTAAACATCATCTCCATTAACTTTCTCACTATTTCTTTTCCTTGAGCCCAATTTTATCTTTTTAGTCTCTGTTTTAGTTCTTTACATTTTGATGGCAGTTTTAAATAGGTTGTCAGGAGATAGTGGCATGGTTGAAGACAGAGAAGAGAACTCAGCCACCTTATGTGACACGATTATGTACAGGGAGATTGTTGCAAGTTATACTCAACTTAGGAATGAACATTAGAAAATCACCTGCTTCTAAATCTAAATGCACAAGGGATGAGTTGCAGAAGAATGAGATTGGTCCTGGAGCCTAGAGGTCCTCACCCTTCATTCACAGAGTCTCCAAGTCCTCTTCTGCTGAATGGGAGCCAAGGAATTTGCTCTTGTCTTATAGGTATTCCCAGAACTGTAAAAGGTAGTCGATATGAAATTAACACCCTAACAGGAACTAGAAGGTTGTATTCAATTAAAGTATTAGGTCATATGTTACTTAGTAATTGTTATATTAGAAAATAAAAATTGGGGGGCTGAAGAGATGGTTCAGTGGTTAAGAGCACTGACTGCTCTTGCAGAGGACCTGAGTTGGATTCCCAGCACCCACATGGAAGCTAACAACCATCCTTCTGTAACTCCAGGGGATCCAATGCTGCCTTCTTACCTCCATAGGCATTGCATTACAAGGGTGCACTTACACATATGCAGACAATACACTCATATACATAAAATAAAAATAATAAAGAAAATATCTTAAAATAAAAATTTGTATCCCTTTCAGCAACTACATGATATATAGGAAAATATGAACAGTACTTTAATGGAGCTAATGCTGTACTTGTGCACATGTGCATGGTGCACATACATGTTAGTGTGTGTGGGGGTGCATGTGTGTGGAGCTCCTAAGTTGACACTGGGTGTCTTCCTCACTGTTCTCGGCTTCATTTATTGAAGCAGAGTCCCCTCTCTGAATCTGGTGTTCCAACGAGGCTAATCCGGCTAGTGAGCTTGCCTCAAGGATCCTCCATCTCCAGAGCCTTCCCACATCACTCTACAATCAAGAAAATGCCTCATAGACACGCCTACAGGCCAATCTGATAAAGAAAACTCCTCAACTGAGGTTCCTTCTTCCCAGAAGTCAAGATGACAGTTGAACTTATCCAGCACACTTGTGTTCTGGGGTCTGAACTCTGGTGCTCAAGTACTTTATCCGCCAAATCATCTCTCAAGCCCCCAGTACTTTCTAAATAAACAGTTTTGAAATAGATTTTTCTCTATGGCACAGGTGTATTCAATGTGATTACGTAGAAATGGCTGTTTGCCTCCTTAGCGTGACAGTAATTCACATTGTCACAATTTTGTCTCACAGAATGATTGAAGATAGTGGAAAAAGAGGAAATACCATGGCAGAAAGAAGACAGCTGTTTGCAGAGATGAGTAAGTACAGAACTTTTAAGGAACTCCCTACCATGTTCTTGAATATTCATGGGAAGCCAGAAATAACCATTTAGTCTGTAGGGACTCTGTCTATCTCCATGAAAATCCTCAATTTCTTGCATAAACTGTGCATCTTGTCATTTCAGTGAGAATTAAATTAGTCAGTGATTTATCATAATTTTCTATCTTACTCTATAGTTCATATGAATAATGGTTATGGACCTGTATATTTATATGCCCAGAGACACTTGATAAACACTGCTTGGAGTTGACTTTTAATACAGCCTATTAGTGTTCAAAGTCTATATTTACCTGCCTGCACTATCTAAGGGCCTGCCATAAGTACTCAATAAAATTTGTGAAATGCATCACTTAATAGAATATATGATGCACTCATATAAGAAAGAAAAGATAAGTAGGGATACTGGATTAAACTGTAAACTGTCATTTGGACCTCCTGTGGAGGGCAAGTCTATCCTACAAACCCATTTCTTTTAAAAAGTGAAGGAAATCAAAAGATAAAGGCAGATACCAAAACATAAAGGGATGATGCTGTACAAGGGACCGTGAACACAGATGGTATTTATTGACTTCAGTGGAGACCTACTATTACAAGTGTTAATATGTGTAAGCACATTGCTGCTGTATAATTGGTGTGAGTAGAACGTCTCTTATAGACCATTTTAATTATTCATAAAAATAGGGGACACTCACCTTGAAAATTAGGTATTACAAAGAAAAACATTCTAGTTCTCTTGTTTTGTGTTTTATCTTTTAACCTCTCCTTCCTGCATAGGGAATGAGAGTAATCAGGAATAAGTTGTAAACTCCTTCCAGGGAGAAGGAAAGAGGACAGAAAAATATTTCTACCGAGAATTAGAAATGATTGACAAGGAGAGTCAGAGAAGAGAAAGGCAAGTCGTGGGTAATATGATTCTCAAAATCATTTTCCAGTAATCTGATGGTGCCAAAGCATTATTAGAATTAACAAAAAGTTCACAGGGTTGTGGGGGTCTCAGACATCTGCTTGCCCTCATACCTGTGGATTCTGATGTGTTTGTAAGTCCAGCTGAGACTTTGCCTATCCCACTCCTGGGGACTAATGCCTCCATCTTAATCTCGGCCTCCACTCATCCCTTGGTTAGGCGGTTGGTCCAGGTGATTAGACCATCCTTGATGGCTGATGATGGGAATTAAGAAGTTGGGCTCTCCTTCTAGGGAGACTAAGAGAGGGCCCTACCTCCTTCAATGATTACTTTCCCTGCCTCTGACTTCCAGGTCCCAGAGAACCACATTCCAGGGTTATAAAACTGGCAAGAGACTGAGAAATTTACATCTCAAAGGAGCCTAGTTAGGGTAATAGGGAAAGGTTTTCCTGAAGTAAAAAGCTCTGCAGAAAGGGAGGTAGGAAGCATACACCCCAAAGGAAACCTGTCTAAAGTTAGGAGAGGAAAGGGGTGCTCAGGGCCCCAGGCCTGAAGGAGGCTGAGGAACTGAGGATTTTTGGTAGGAAGGTGGCCTCAACCCTGGCGGTTGCAGCACCCTTGAATAAGACATTTGCTCTGAGCTCATTACAGCAAGCAATGGAAGCAGAAGGGGACAGCTCAGAAATGCCTAGGCAGCCCACTAGGTGTGGTTAGAGAAATCCCCAGGCAAGTTGCCCTTAAGTAAAAATTCTCCTCATTATAACACTCTGATTACTAGTTTACTTAGTATTTTGGATTACAAGTTTAAAAAAAAATTAGGAAACTGTAAATGCCCCCCCCACCCCGCCGAGCATTTCAGTCGTCACATAAGTTCATCTGTTCAAATAGGCTCTTTAGACTGACTTTAGCCAAATACATTGTTTGTCTTGGAATTCACATCTCTGTCCTTTCCACGCAGAGCACATTTACTCTGCCTCATGTACCTTCAAATCCACTCACCTTCCACGCTGGATCAGTTTTTAGAAGTATGCAAGGCACAAGATGGGTGGAAAGAGTCAGAAGCCATTGAAAAGCCCTTTTAAGAACCTGAATGGCCTCCTAGCAAGCTAAAGGTCTTGAGGAGAGAGTGAGGAAGACACCAGCCTCTGGGTGAAGGAGGTATTAGACACCAAAAGGAACCAGGGCCCTCAAGAAAATTGCTGAATTGTCTCAAGGCAGGTAGGCCTGTTCCAAAAGTCAGCCAAAGCCAGCCGGGTCACGGTGGCAGAGGCACAGCTCGGAGCTGTGCCCACCTGAGAAGCTGTCACCTTTGCCCACCTACAGCAGCCCAAGGAGATCCTTAATGGTTTAGGGACCTTGATTCAGGTACCAATAGGATCCTTGGCCACATGGAGGAAAGGAATTTCAGGGCAAACAAGTTTGAAACAGAGTGGCATCTGTTAACAGTAGAAAGAAAGGCACTCTGGGAAGGAATAAGGCACAGCAAGTGAATAGGAGGGGTCTTGAGAAGAGCAGATGGCGAGGGCATCCTCATGGTGGCCGCGCTTAGAGCTCGGGGAGCTGTCTTGTTCTTCCTCTTGCATACAACACACATGTATACTCATGTATATATACACACACATGCATTCAGTCAGCTATCAGGCACGGCACATAGCTCAGGCACATTATTTGTAGGCTTCCTCTTCATTCTATAAATATTTCTTAGGTAAACTTTTTAAATGAATGAGATGTTTAAGAATCAGAGTGACTGGAGAAGATTTTATACTGAGCTATCAAAATATAGATGAGAATAGGGCTGGAGAGATGGCGCAAAGGTTAAGAGCACTGACTGCTCCTACAGAGGACCCAGGTTCAATTCCCAGCACCCACATGGCAGCTGACATCTGTCCGTAACTCCAGTTCCATGGGATCCGATGCCCTCTTCTGACCTCCATGGGCACTGCATGACATGGGTGTACTTACATGCATGTAGGCAATACACTCATACACATAAAATAAAATTTTTTAAATATAGACGACAAAACATACATGAAGTAAGTGAAATGTTCAGCACATCATGAAGCTAAGATCAAAGTTAGTCAAGAATGGTCAGTTGGTTCATTGTTTTGATGAATAAATGAAAAAAAAAGAAGACAGACCTGAGAAAGGGGGAGGATGGAGCAAGGAAGAATGGAGGGGGGGACATGAAAGGATGGACTAAAGGAAGACAGGCTCGGCTGCTTACCATGAATGGACACAGTTTTTACCTATATTTTGGGCCTGTCTTTATCTCATCTTCCAACCATGAAGTGGATAGGCACAACAAAAGTGCATCACATTTCCTTAAATCAATGTGTTTTACAATCACAGATATAGAAGAAAAGATCAATCTCTAGTCTTGGTTATGTGGCCCTCACTAGGTGTTGGTGCAAAACAAGTCTCAGAAATCATTTGAGTGAGCTGAATCTCCAAGTTTTAAAGAATTATATACCACTGATACAAGTTTTAAACACACCATCAATGGATAGTGTAAGAGACATTATCCCCCCAAAGAAACAAATTTAAATTCCATATTTCAGTAAAAATTTAGATAAATTATCCGGGAAATACCATTAAATAAATATTAATCTCAATTTCAACAAGGTATTAGCAAAGGTTCTTAGATTATGTATGTATTAGAAAAATGTAAGCTAGGCCACAATAAGGCAGACCTATGGGTAGTGTCATGACCATATCCAGGGCAGTAACTAATGATTCAGTCACCTTGGAGAAAGGCAGGCCTCCAGTAGCACACAGGGCTCTGATTATGGCCTTGTTAGGTCATTGGTTTTAATCAATAACTTGGACAGGCATAGAAAACATGCAAGTAATTCCAGGGTAGATGCTGGGTTTATGGCCCTTCAAGAAATAAACCACACAAGCAAACCTAAAGTAAGTTCATGATTTACTAAGGCAGAGAACCCTAAGTTTTGTCAGTGTGTAAAAACAGCAGGACTCTGTGCTACATTCCCCAGTCTTGTTTGTTCTCCAAATCCAACATGAATCCCACAGGGCCTCCCACATTGTCTGTCCAAGGTAGTATGTTGTGGTATCTGAGCACCTACATGCCATTGCTCACTGACTACAATCCCTTTAATACGAGGCTCCCATCACCAGTCATGAAGAGTGTTTACAAGCAGGAAACATTTGCAGACATCAGGTCCCTCTTGATTCTTGATTTTGTTCTTCAACATCAGTTAAGTCTAAGTCCACTAATAGTGGCAGGGAAGAAGAGCTGTCCATTCTCTCCTGCCCCCACACATTATCTCTGTATCCTTCCTCACCACATGGTGTCGAAAAGCACCTTTGCCAACCTGCTCCAGTACCTCCTCAGGGAGAGGCACAGAAAAGCCACAGTTATAATACTGGTTCTCAAAGTATCATTAAGGTCTCGTTGGACCTAAAGAACATTACTGCGTGCTAGGTCAGGGTCATGTTATACTATCCAAATCTGGTGCTTATGTCATTGTCTTGTTTTATTTTGTTGTGTTTGTTTTTTAGAATTTTTCAGACAGGGACTTTTGTAGACCAGGCTGACTTCAAACTTGCTATGTAGGCTAGGATGATCTTGAACTTCTAATCTTCCTGCCTCTGCTTTCTAATTGCTCGAATTACAGGTATGTGCCAGTATACCCAGTTTTGTCTCTCCTAGGGATCAAACCCAGGGTTTCATGCATGCCAGGCAAGCACTCTCCCAACTGAGGCTACATCTCTAGCCCTATTTGGCTTTGTTTTAATTTTTTTATTTTATGTATATTAGTATATTGCCTGCATATGTGTATGTGCACCTGTGTTGTGCAATGCCCACAGAGGGCAGATGGGGGCATCAGATCCCCTGGAATTAAAGCTACGGATGGTTGTTAGCTGCCATGTCATGTAAGTGCTGGGAATCGAAACTGAGTCCTCTCCAAGTCAGTGCTCTTAACTGCTGAGCCATTCTCTCCAGCCCCCTGCCCACCCCCCGTTTGGTTTTTAATGAAAATTTTGTACCCCAGGCTAGCCTTGAACTGTGATCCTACTACCTCTTCCTTAATGATCAGATGAGAGGTGTGTATACCCAGCCTTACTTTATCATTCTTGAAGAACTTATGCAAATGATGTGTGTCCCCTAATATTTTTTCTTTCAAAGCATTGTTACAGATTTCAAGAGTCATTGCTGGTGAGCCAAAGTGAGCATCAGTACATTCTTCCACAGAAGCAGATTAAGCACCCAGGTGTTCCTGATTATGGGTCTCGGATTATTGACATCTTAGAGAGTGCCTTTCCAACAGGACTCTATCAAATTGACCAAAGACATTAACCTGGGAAGGAGCTGTGAAATGCCAGTAGGAAAAAAAAATAGAATTTTAAAAAGCATCATAATGGTTAGCACAAGCAGGAAATTAAAATAAACTAAATGAATAATGCAAAGTCCTTTCTTTAACATAAAATAGAAAATACTAAAGATAGAACTTAATATAAGCACGTGAGATTCTTTAAATCCAGCCTTTGAATTAAATGAAAGTTTAATAAGAATGTGATAATGAACCTGTTACAATATTCCCTGCATTCATATATGTCCTCATTCAAGGTGACGTGATTGCTTTGTGTATGTTATGTTCTTAGGAGGTGGCAGCACTGGTATTTGAGTGTTATCCATCTCATTTTGAGGCAGTATGAGCCAGCCATAGAACATAGTGGCTGGCAGGCTTATGGGCCTCAAGAACATGTCTGATGAAATAATGGTAGCAACCCCATGTATCAAACCCTGTCCTGTGCCACACTGTACGGGAACACCATATATGCCTGAAATGGATCTTTAAGCTAAACATATCAAAAGGAAAAGCTATTTCCCCAGGTAAACATTAAAGTTCATTGTGGCAAAGACTTTTGTCCCTACTTAAGATGTTTATGATGATAACTATGGCTTCTACCTGATATTTGAGAAATGAATTCTGTCAAGTGGCAGAGAGAAAAGATTCTGCGGGTCCAGATGGAAGAGCTGGAGTAAGTAGACTGAAGTGACAAGAACGCGGATAAAACTCAAATGTAAGAAAAGAACTATCAGGAAAGGAAGCCTCTAAGAGGGTTCATTTGCTGCCAAGGTGCTCACTGCCTACCTGGGACAGAGGTCAAGACTGTACATCTATTGCCAGTTCAACTTGATCTTGTTTTCTCCTTCTCCTGTTTAACCATCCTGAGATGACTTGCTGAAGGTCACACAGCTAGAAAGTGAGAGAATTGAAAAGTACTGGCTGGACAGTTCATTGATTTCCATGAATCTGATATTCCGTATCTTTAGAAGCCATCCTATGTAGCATTACGTAAGTGTCATCTCCTGAGAACATCTTTCAGAGAATCCCAAATTGAGCCAGAGTATCTCCCATCTCCTATATCCTCACAGTGCTCAGTATCAAAGAATTAATTACTAAGCAACATACTTTCATAAGGATGTATGTTTAATGATCAACCTTATAAAATCATAAATAACAGGACAATTGACAACAATATTTTCAAGATCAGCCTGAGTTGAGAAGACATGGAACACTGTCCATGAGGGACACACACTAAGTCATACTTAGTTTCATTGGAAAAGCATCTCATTGGCCGTTATTGTACCTGCTTCCAGGACAGTCCGCCTACTTACTATTCTATCCTTAAGCATTTATAAAGCACGTTAATACGGGTGCCCTCAGTGACAAGAAAGCTCAATACATGTCAGAATGCAGCTTTGTGCTTTCATATCTGTTATGAAACACCAGTGCAAACTTGAAGAAAGCCAGACACTTAATAGCAGATCTTCGTTTGAAGTTTTGTATGTTTTGGACCTAGTCTAGCAATAAGGCCAATCAAAGGAGGGTAGGAGGAACTAGAAGCTCAGTGTGCATGTGGTGGACTTGCTAAGCAGCCAGACCAAGCTGTGTGAGACTCCTAGTGTGTTGGTGGAAAACACTGATGGATAGACAACACGGAAAAGACTGGGAAGGGGCTTAAATTCTCAGCAGAGGAGCCATGCTGGATTCTTGGTGGGATAGTAGAATAAGAAAAGTAGTTCATGAATGAGGGTCACATATTCTTTCTGTGCCAGGATGGAACTGGGGGCCACAGAATAAGATCAGAGGTTGTTTATGGAGAGGAGTCTCCCACTCTGAGATTTCAAGGTAGATGCTGTTAGTACAAATATAGAACATGTCCACAGCACCCACTACATGCCAAGCAGTGAAGTTCTAAGGGCATTAGGTATATTTCCTCATTTCCCTTTCTATCTATCCTATGAAATGGCTACTGATACCTTTATCCTAACCTTGCAAAGGAGGAAACGGAGGTTTCCAGAAGCACCTGGCTGAAGGTCACACAGAGAAGACGCTCAATATTCAGGGTGTGCCGCCTGTCAGCTATGTTCTAGGGACCTTTCGCAGTGCATGTAACAGAGCATTTATTCAGTGGTTGTTTCTGATATCATCGTGCTGTTTACTCTGTCATGACTTGAGCAGATTGTTTTGGGAAGTGGTAGACACAACAGGGAAGAGGTTGTGCTCCTCAGACCATGAGTGTGGTTAACAGTCTGATCTCCGGTGCCAGATGCCAGGGTACTCCCATCCCCCGACCCAGAACTTGACTATTGGACAGACCTTTCCAAGTCTCAAAGGAATATTTATGTTCCAACAGAAGTAAAAATAAGCAAATAGTATCTGCCGTTGTCTTATTTACAGAGGTTTCCAACTTCTGTCCACACACACGGCGTACCATATGTCTGCTCTTCTCTTCCCCACTAGGGGCTCAAGATCTGGATCGCATCCGACTCTCCACCTACAGAACAGCGTGCAAGCTGAGATTTGTGCAGAAGAAATGCAATTGTAAGTATGCTGTTTGTTTGTGCTAATTGCCTACAAGAACCCTGTCCTTTACATTTGTTATTTAGCTTATTAAAACCAGGTTTACTTACAAGGATCGATAAACACATGCTTACAGGGCAATAAAAGTTGTATTGTGATACGTAGGTGGTAGAGAGACTGTGCTATGCAATTCTGATTTTGTCTTAACTATCGAAACCTTGGAATGGATGAACCTCCAGATACACACACACACACACACACACACACACACACACACACACACACACATATATAGATATATCCCTACCTTGGAGTGGCTCATCTTTTTACTCTTTTCTCTACCCTTGGCATTTGAAACACCATGCCATCCAAATGGTTTCTGCATACTTTAAATCCTTTCTACATGTGCACACCTTTTATAATTATTAGAAAATGTGTACAACTACCTAGAACACACTTCAGCTTCTTTCTGAAACTATAAAGTTAGCGAAAATAAAAATGTGCTAATTGTCTTTGTGGCTAGGAGTGACAGAAGAGATATTGCTTAAAGAAACACAGGAACTTGCTTCAGCATGCTGCCAAATTTTAAAATACACACAGCAAGCTGATCACTAACCACACGAGCAGTTCCGTATTCCCTGCTGGGTCGGAATACCCCTTTATGTTACCACATCAATTTTCTCTTGGCAAAAATATTACTTCATAGTTTATTTCTATAAATTTGATGTTCTTTTTTGGAAGCTGACTGTGATTAAAAATTAGTAACTTCTCATTTTCTGATTAGTATAGAACCTTTTAAAAATGTAACCCATATGCTGTCCTCACAATGTACATATAGTTCTCAAGTATTCAGCATCAGAACTAACTCTTAGTAAATGCAGAGACCAGTCACTTCCACAGGCCTGTCTGCCTCTACCAGGTATTTCCCAGGGCCCTGGCTAGGCTACCTGGCCCCATACTTCTGGGTAAATGGTTGATCATGACAAGAATGGGCAAAATGATCCTGTCCTTCAAGGTGTTCCCCTAAAGCCATATATATATATATGTCCAATCTCCAGGAGTAGAGATGTAGTTCACTTAATAGATCACTTGACAAATACATGTGAATCCCTGGGTTCAGTCCCCAGAACTACATAAATCAGGTGGTGCATGGGCAGGGGGATCAGTAGTTCAAGATCATCTTTGGCTACATAGTGGGTTTGAAGCCACCGGGGACCCTGTCTAAAAATATTAATTTGTTTAATTTAAAAAGGAAAGCATGTGGCTATATTTGTATTCTCAGACATCAATGAGCCAATGAAAACCTGTTTCAGTGCTGACCTTAGGGTGGGTGGGGAAAATGTTTCCATAGAGGAAAAGCTCCCTTCCCCCATCAGTGCCATCTTCTACATTAAAACACAGAAAGATTCTCCAAAGCGAAGAGATTCCCCCCACACTGTTATGACTTCTCACCACCCCATAAACTTTCAGACTGGGGAGGGGTGGGGAGAATGGGGGACGTTCTGTTCTCCGTAAAGCTCTGTCGAGCAGAGCTTTTCTTGGGCTTCTTTCAGTGAAGATGGGGACCTCTAAAAAGACTACAGAATGATCAGGAAGAACAAGGAAATAAACATGAGGGAGAAAGAGACAGAGAAAGGTGTGAGGAAAGGACGGGAAAGAGGAGGGAAGCAGGAAGAGACGCTCGGTGGTTGGCACGGTAACAAGCTGCAGGCTGTGAGACCCCTCGGCGGCGCTCTGGCATCCTGCAGGCTGATTCCATCCCCGCTGCTCTCTGAGAAAAGCCTGTTCTCGGTCTTGAGCATTTCTTTCTTCCTCTTCCTGTTCTTTTTGGGTCTCCTCCTTATCCTACATCCACTGTTGTTTCTTAGCCACACTTGTCTACCTGCTTGGTAAACAGTACGGAAGCAGGAGAAACTAGAAACACCAAACCTGTCCGGCGTCCCCTTGCTGCGTCCATTCATTGGCCTCTTCATTTAGCAAGTGAACGATTCCTCCTCGGTGCCGGGCACTGTGTCAGACACCAGAGACAGTGCAGTGTGGACATGCAAGCCCTACCTTAAAGTTGCTCAAACCCTAACTGGCTAACTAGACTTTTAGCAGATGTATAAACCCACGTGAGAAGGGTAATGATAGGGATAAGGACACGGTGTTGGGGAGCCCTGTGGAGACAGTGCTCTGATGTAAGGACAGAGGACTTCCTTGGGGGATCTGGGCTGAATCTTGAGGAATCAGTAGACATTAAGCAGAGAAAGAAATCCCTTATTTGCTTTGCAATGTTACTGATAAACTCCATGCATTTTAGGATGAGAAAAAATATCACATTCTAAACACACTAGTCAAAGCTAAGGCTCAGGAAAGAGAAACACGCTTGATTTGAGCACTGCACTAAAATTAAACTTTTTAAAAATTGTTCTCCACATTGATCAGAAGCATTGAATGTGGTATGGCCAGCGTTTCTCAGTCTTCTGCTTAACAATAAATGAAACAGTTGTGATATTCAGAATTACTTACAAATATGTAAACAATTGATCTTGGCTTATCTTAACCAACGTTGAAGACTTCCAGAAAAGTAACTAAAAAGGTAGGTTGTTTTGGTAACATAACATTCATCAACATTGAATATACATCCCTGCATTAGAGCAGGGTAATTTTAGTCTGCAATAAAAGCCAACCCCCAATGAATTATGGTGCCTTATAATGGAGTTTTACTCTACAACAAAAGAAATAAGAAAATAATTAGAATGGAGTGGTTTTGCCTCTCGGGAATGCAAAGACGTTGAGCACAACCAGTGGCCAAGAAAGAGGAAAGGCTCAATACTAATAGCAAGGGGGATAATGCCTCTTGGAGCAAACAAAGAAAGGGACTTTTATTGGAGAAACATCCACCTATTCAGGCAGGAAAGCCTCTCTGTGTCACAAGCAGAGACAGGTCATCCTTAAGCATGCTCCGTCCACTTCTTCACACATCAGTGCTCAGAAAAATGGTGGAAGGAAACACTTTTGGATAGAAAATTTAATATTATAATGTACAAGGTTTATTCTAGATCACCTAGAAGGGATGAAGCAAAATGACAATTTGTGCACTCCTTGTAACTGTCTTTGGCCAGCCTGATCTGAAACATGAAGAAACTCCAGGCTGGTTTAGAGTCCTTTGTTTAAGGAGACAGCAGATTTTTCCTGCAAAGTGATTGCTCCTGAACTACCTGCTGACCCATTGCACTACTGAAGACTACCTCGGCCTATTTGAGCTGCTATTAAAAAAATGGAATAGGCTAGGTGGTTTATAAACAACAGAAATTTATTTCTCATAGTCCCAGAGGCTGGGAAATCCAAAGTCAAGGTCCCACCTTGCTAAGTGTCTGATTCCCAAGAGGCCTTATATGATGGAGTGTGCAGGGCCGCACTCTAGGGTCTTTTTCATAAGGGGATTAGTCCCTGTCAGGAGGGCTCCACTTTAAAGATATAATCAGAGGAAACATTTCTTCCATGCTTCCAAGTGAAGCCAGCCGAGGTCAAGTAGGACCTTTGACTTATCTTCACATAGATGGAACTGGTAAAAGAAATGAGCCAGGGGGCCCTTCCCAAGCCC